GACAGCACCTCGAGCCTCGCACCTGGGCGCGCCGCCGACTCGGGGCTGAGTGACCAGGCCCAGCGGGCGATGCTCCAGGGCGAAGCCCTGCGACGGCGCGGCCTCGCGAAGGTAGCTGCGCGGGCGGCTCGCCGAGGCCGCCACGGCGCCCCACGAGGCCGTGCCCCCACGAGCGCGGGCCGGCATGGGCCCGGGCACCTCCGATGGGGTCAGGCCACACGCTGCCGTCGGGCCATCCTACGCTCGGGCCGAGGCGTAAAAGATCGAGGCCGCCTCGGGGAGGCTGCCCAGAGAGTGTTTCTTGCTGGTGGGATGCCCTGGTGCATCCGGGGGGGAGGGTACACCCTCAAGGAGTACCGCGCCCACGAGCGTGGGCCGGCACGGGCCCGGCCACTCGAGGCCGAGTGATGGAACCCAGCGGGCGAGGCTCCGGAGAGTCGGCGGCGCGCCCGGGGGGGGGGGAAAGCGAGAGGGGGCGGGCCTCCCCAGAAGGCTCGTGGAAGGCCCCCGGCTCTCCCAACAAATGTTCTCGAAGCCTTCCCCGAAGACACGGACAGCGAGCTTCCCAGGAGGCGCGAAGAGGGCTTCTGAGAAGCACCGCCGCCCTGTGAGAAGGCCTGCTCCCGCTCACTTCCCAAAGGTTAGTTCGGGCGTGTCCTCCTACAGGCTGATGTTAGATGAAAAATCAGAAGATGTTGACACATGGTCAAAGAGTAGAAAAATCGTCCCCAGACTATTTTATACCATATTCTTGAATATTCCTCCTGTGGAGGGACATGCCCGACTTAACCCAAAGGAGAAGCATGGACCACCGCCGCCGAGAGCACATCGGGGCGGGACCGAAACCCTGGGAGGTGGCCTGCCTTGGCACGTCGCTGGCCCCGGCGGACCTCGGTCGACAGGACATGGCATACCGTCTAGCCGCTGAGATCATGGAAGGTGACAATCGAGAACAGACTTCAGCTGGCGGCGCGCACAAGGGGATAGGGGTAGAAGGGAAGGTTTCGTACAAAGAAGCGGCTTTTTAGAAGGCGCCGGCGTGGCATCTATACACGAGGCCCGCGCCTGCTAAGAAGCAGGGGTGCTTCTAAGAAGCATTCCCCCCTCCCCCTGCCATCCTCTGCGCGTGGCCGGTTTAGGGGGAACAACAAACAACGTAATTTCCTAATCGTCGGCTGCCGCTTCGAGTCGGCTCCGTCTGACCGTCCAGGCGCCCGGAGGGTCCTGGGCCCAGTTGTTCTAATCATCATGCCCGGCGCCGCCGCGTGAACAGGACCCCCGGTAATTTCTTGACCATCATCCTGCAAAAAGGAACGCCTAAATGAAGAACAGAGCCCCTTTGGGGCACCAGACGAGCCTGGATGCACGAAGGGGGCTAGAGGAACAGCCATGGAAAGACTCAAGAGACATCGAGCCTGTTCCAAAACAAAACTGTTACTCATTTCAGCGCCTTGGCTGTACGGCAAGTTCGTGTCGTTCCGACTTTGACGCTAGCTTCTGACACCCTGGGGATCGTTCAACCTTGAACGATGTGCCGTTTCCAAGAAGCGTCAGATCGTTCAACGTCGACCCATTCTGTGTCGAAAGCGGCGTTCAACGTTGAACGCCGTCGGCGGGGTCGCCGCCAAACGACACAACGCGACCTTAGCATAAACTTTCAGACCTCCGCGCGGATTCTTCGGATCGGCGTGGGCGCCCCCTGGCGGCGCCTCCGCCGCCGCCGCAGTCGCGCTCCGCGCGCCGGGGAAGGGGGGGTTAAGCGCCGATCCAAGAAACCGGTCCAGGCCTCCGATAAGCCAGAGTCAACACAGACAGTAATGACGATCGCCTTTCCAAGGGTATTCTTGCAGCCGTGCCTCTTACTTAGGTCATCTTCGGTCCGTCCGCAAACACTCTCGATGGCCAGCCCCGCTCGAAAAGTTTCGGCTTGGGTGTCCACGGCCCTGGAGGAGGACGAGGAGGAGGAGGAGGAGGAGGAGGAGGAGGAGGAGGAGGAGGAGGGGGAGGAGGAGGTGGAGGAGGCGGCGAAGGAGGCATTATCCATCCCTGTGTGCAATTGTTTGCTCCTCGAGGCCAAGTCGGCCGTCACCGTGGCCTGGCTCACGGCGGGCGGCGCGGAAGGCCGGAAGGGCGCGTGCAGCCTCCCCCGCCCTCGCCTCTTGCCTGCGCCCCTGATGGATGCCACGGGGTGGCGGAGGAGGAGGAGGAGGAGGAGGAGGAGGAGGAGGAGGAGGAGGAGAGGAGGAGGAGGAGAGGAGGAGGAGGAGGGAGGAGGAGGAGGAGGAGGAGGAGGAAGGCGAAGGATCCAGGATCAGGGTCAAGCTGCCAGGTGGCAGAGGGTTGCCATCGCCTGGGCTGCCCTTCCCCGTGCCTGTTTGTCGGCTGCGTGCGCGCCCGCTGCTTGATGAGGTGAACCACTGTGCCTCTCGACGGCCCTCGCCGAGAACATAGACACACGTCCGAGCGATGCAAAAGAAGAACCAGGAGGACCACCTGTGCGAACCTCGGCCAAAGACGGCGCTCTGCAGCACGCCCGGGCGCCACCGCTGACTGGACACCCACGCGCTGAGGAGGTGATGCGGTGCTTCTGCTGTTGCTGCCACCACTAGTGTTAGGTCGGGCATGCCCCCCTACAGACGGATTTTGGAAACGTTCAAAATACTCCAAAATATTAAAACATAGTCCAAAACCAATCGAAAAATCGTCCCCAGGCTAGTTTTGACTACTCCTCCTTTAGAGGGACAGGTCCGATTGAACACTATTGCCATGGGGCGTCCAGCTGCAACCGGGCATGTCGGCCCGACGCTGGCGCATGGAGATTTCGAGTCTGGTCCACCGCCTCGCAAGGCAGGAGGGCGCGGGTGCAGGCACGTACTGCTGTCCAGCCCTGACCTCTCCAGTGGG